AAAAAAGTAATACAAAACTTGGGCTTTTAATCCATCAAATAGCACTTCCCTTCTAGCTACACATTAGCAAAATTCCGAAATTGACCAAGCCCTTACCTGGGGGTATCTGTTTGCAGGTTCTACTTGGCTGAGCATGGCCAACACAAAGGCAGCTGTTTTACCAGTACCCGACTGAGACTGGGCAATTAAGTTCTGTGGGCTGTACAAGAAAACAAACTGTTTAGGAGCTTAAATATCAAGTATCCTTTCAGTTAATAAAAATGAAGAATAAAGCATAATTAAAAAGTGAGTATTCAGAATTAATTTATAGGAGGCCCTGGATTCTGTAGCAGTTACATATGCTAGCTATATGTACAGAGCACTACAGAGATTTTTATGGTAGGACTTACAGCACTCCTTATCTTTTATCTAGCTTCAACACAGCAGCAAGTGATTCTAAAGTGTGAGTGAGCTCACACCACTTCTCTCTCAAACACCTCCCAATTAATCCTGATTTCATTCAAAGTAAAAGTTAAAATCCTTATAATGCCCTCGTGGGGGTGCAAAAAATAACTTTCCTTCCACCTTCTAAGTTCTTCTAGCTGGGATAATAATCAACATGAGACAAATAAACAAGAAAATCTCCAAAATTTATTACAGATGTACATTCGGAGGTGCCATACAAATATAAGACCTGAACACACATTGGGCAATTGAGTTTTATATACCATTTTGGACAAAGGAGAAGTGGGGTAGGGGTCTAGGCTTTCAAAGGAAAAGTAGGCAATTCACTGGTAGACAGAACAAACATGTGACAAACAAATTCTTGCTGGGCCACCCAGAAACAATGGGACACAGAAGGAAGTTCAACAAACAAGCTTTTGGGGGTTGTCACTTTGTGAGGGGTGAAAAATATAACTACTATATTGTTTTGTACACCTGAAACTAAAAAAAAAAAAAAAGCTTTGTTAAATTTCTCCCTGTCTGTAGCATTTAGTTTATATTATGATACAAAGGTGATATTTCCTTCCTTTAAGTGCGTTTTTCTGTTTGAATTCCTTTAGGCAGGTAAAAGAGGGGGTGGGGGGGAGGTCAAATGTTCTTTCTTAGTCTTTTGTTTCTTAATAACCTACTTAAAATCACTATCCCGAAAGGCATATTTTGGGGTGGCAAAATTTGGTCTTCCTCACCTTACAAGAGCCTACCCTGATCTGGCTCCCCATTACCTCTCTGCTGTCATCTCGTACTACCTTCTCCCTTACGTATTCCACCCCACCACAATGGCCCCAGTACCGCTCTGAAAACAGGCCAGTATTTGGGTATGCTCTATAAAATCNTAGAATTCTTAGGGGTTAGAACTCTGGCTGGGTAAAGACACTTAAAAACATGTATTGGCCACTGGAGTACCAAAACCTACATGTGAGCAAGGATCTGAAATTCCAATTGGAGATGAGCTTCCTTTTCACTTTCTCAGAAAGTTCTCAACTTTCCAATGGATGAGAATTGTAGATGAAGGAGGTTTTTCCTGCTAAAGGAGCCTAGTCTATCAGCAGTATCCCAGAACTGGCAAACTATGGAAGGAAAAAAAGGATTTTTATTGTTACTAGAAGATCAACCGTGTTATTTGTACTCAACTTAAGGGGTCCTGGTTTATGTAAAAAGTAATACAAGGGGGCCAGCCGAGTGGCGCGTTGGTTACGAGCTGGCTTGGGACGCCAGCTCTGAGCAGCAGGGGCCCGGTTCGGATCCCACATGAGGGCCAGTGACCCTGCCCTCTACAACTAAGATGGTGAACAACAGCTCGACCTGGAGCTGGGCTTCTGTGAGTCGCCGGCGATGGTGTAGGTGTTGCTGTGCTGCATGTGTGCTGCCATAAGCTACCATGTGTGGCCGGCAGCCAGCATGAGTGGCCAGCAGCCAGTGTGAGCTCCCAAGAGCCGCCGTGAGTGGCTGTCCAGAGGCCGGCGACCGATCTGCCTCACCCGGGAAGAGCACAATGATAATATCAACATGGGCCAGTGAATCAACGTTGTCCACAACTAGACTGAAGAACAAAAGGACAGCAACTTGTCTGTTCCCCTCCCCCAACTCCCCAATGGAATCTTAAAAAAAAAAAAAGGTAATACAAGGGCCAGCCGAGTGGCACATTGGTTAGGAGTTGGCTTGGGACACCAGCTGAGCATCAGGGCCCTGGTTCGGATCCCACATGAGGGCCAGTGACACTGTGCCCTCTACAGCTAAGATGATGAACAACAGCTCGACCTGGAGCTGGGCTGCCATGAGTCGCCAGTGACTACAGTGAGGGTGGCCAGCAGCGGGCGTGAGCTTTCGTGAGCTGCCGTGAGCCGCTGTCCAATGGCTGGCGAGCGACTGTGTCAGCCAGGAAGAGCGCAATGATAATACCAACATGGGCCAGTGAAG